ATGCCCGGAGGCCGGCCGGCCGCAGCATGGCTCACGGGGCCGGCGCGCTGATGCTCAAGTGCGTGGTGGTCGGAGACGGGGCGGTGGGCAAGACGTGCCTACTCATGAGCTATGCCAACGACGCCTTCCCGGAGGAGTACGTGCCCACCGTCTTCGACCACTACGCAGGTAAGCCTCGGAACTGCTGACTAAGGGGCTGCTCCTCGGGCTGGGAACTTTAGAGCAACTTTGGCGGAGCCCCCTGCTACCTCCCCAGAGCGCGCTCCCCACCCCTCCCCCGCCGCGCCCTCTGCCAGGCTACGGCCCCACCCCCGGGCTTAGCCACGGTCTTTCCCTTCTGCCCGCAAGTCCGATCCCCTCTTTTAACAGCCCCAACTCCCGACCTCAGCCCCCCGCTCCCTGCACTTCTCAATACCACGGAGCCCTGGACCGACCTCCCTGACCTTCCTTAAACCGCCTCCCCTACCACCCCAACTCTAGGGTAAGCTTGGGGAGGGTGGAGTGGGGGGCGCGGCAAGACTTGGCTGCGGGACTTGGGAGAAGGGAGTGGGCAGCTGGGGGCCACTTCGTACCGGGCTTCACGCCACTTCACATTGAGCGGGACACAAGGGAAATGGGGTGACATCTGAGGAGAACCTGCTTGCCTCCAGCTGGGTCGGGTGAGGTGGGGGGGGCGTCGGCGGGGGTTGGGCGGTGGGTACGAAGTTGCCCTAGAGCCCAGATAATTGTGAGCTTCTTTCCCCACCCCCACGTCTGTCCTTGCAGTCAGCGTCACCGTAGGGGGCAAGCAATACCTTCTGGGACTCTATGACACGGCTGGACAGGTGAGTGTCTTGGCCCCTGGCCATCGCCCCAGTTCCTTTCCCCAATTCAGAGTGGCCCTGAGGAGTCTTTGGAAACAGAGGTGTCTAGGAGGGAGGGTGTGCCTGCATGGACTTTATTCCTCTTTTCAAGTTAGCGAATTAAGTAGCAGTGACAGACCCAGACAAGCCCACCCATGTGGACCCCTGGGCTGTGAAAGTTTTTGCCTGTTATGTATCTTCTGTATGGTTCCTGGTGTGTGGGTCCCAACTCCTGTTGCAAAGTGGCGGTGGCCAATCCTGAAGCGCCCTTATTTTTAGTTGCTGGTGGCCAGGTCTCCCCCTCACAGCCTCAGTCTGGTCTCTCATTGGTGAGTGGTCTGCCTGCCTGAGGAGCCTGATTGGTGGGAAATGGCATCATCTAATCTGATGGGAAGGCATTTGGTACTGGTTATGTTTATTACAACATCATGGCACTCTGGGACTCCAGTCCCTGAAAACGTAATTTGTGGTGTTACCAAAGGACCACAGGGAAAAAAGAAAAGAAACAACACCATCCAGCCACTCCCTGGGGCAGGGAGGAGGAGAAAGGGTTAGGAGTTCAGAGTGAATCTTAGAGGAAGAGCTTTTTTTCTTTTTCCTGGAGAAGACAGGTGACTTTGTCTGGCTTTTCTTTGGGGAAAGGTTATTGTGCAGAAAGAAAAGGCAAACTCTTTCAGGCAGCCTCTGAGCATTGTTTGCAAATTAGAGTTGACTCCTAAAGAATTAAGGTCTCTTCTCTGTCTCAGCCCCAGTGCAACCCCTTCCCAGACTTCATTTTTGCCTGGGCTGATGATTGTGTGGGATGAAGTTTTGCAGAATCCACCCTTGTGATTAGACCTGAAGACTTCAGCAGAAGTTTCCACATGTCATGCAGAGTTGAGTCCTTGAGGACATGTGCGCCACTGAGGGGCTTAGAGAGTATCTTGGGGGGATGTCCAAGAGTACAGTTTCCTTATCTGTAAAATGGGCTTTAAGAATTCAGACCACCCCCTGTGCATGTATTATACGCCATATGTTTAGCATGACATACACTGGGTACTTACTAAAGGGGAATTGTTCTTTTAGCTCATCTAGAGTTGAATTTCAGAACTGTGGTACCAGGTTGGATTCTGAAGAGTATTGGTGGGGGTGGGAGGTGGCTTGATATGGCCTCTGGTTGCTAAGATCCATTAGTGGTGCCTCTGAGGATACATGCTGTATCCAGGTGCCTGCAATGCCCCCTTTCACCACACTGACTCGGGGCAGTACAGTTGTTCTCTTGCCAGCACCCCTTTTTGGTTGTCAGGCTTATAGTTATTACCTTTATCAGAACAGTATCATTTATTATTATGCAGAGGGCTAGAGGCAGAACTGAGTCAAATAAGACTAACTCATGTGCAGTACAAGTTGATAAACTATAGAGGAAGAGTTGTTCTTTTCCCTCTAGGAAGGTCATGTGATTTTGTCTGGATTTTCCTTGGGCTAGGTTATTGAACAAGTTAGAATTTGGGTGAAAGGAGAGGGTTTTAAAAAATTGTGCCTGAGTAGAGCTAAAAAGACACTTCTCCAAAGAGGAAATGCAGATGGCCAACAGGCATATGAAAAAATGTTCAACATCACTCGTAATAAGGGAGATGC